TCTCTCTCTCATTCTCTCTCTCAAGTAAATAAATAAAATCTTTAAAAATAAATAAATAAAAAGAAATTGCCCTAAATCTTAGTACCTTACGTGTATTATTTTAAAATGTTAAAATTAGAAGAATAGATTGCTTAGGTTTTGCTGTGTTAAAAGCATTGTAGAACAATTCAAAGTAATTGGGAAAAAATAAAAAAAATAGCTGCTTACTTGTCTGAATTCTCCCACTAGGTGGTAACTTCTTGAAAGCTCTGTATTCTCAGACCTCTTGGAACCTGACATTCAGTAAATTAATGTTGAGTGAATCAGTAAATATTTTAAGAACCAGGACATTTAAGAGCTCGATATTACTTAAGAATAGATATTAAAATTTTTATATGTAGATTAGAAATCTTGTACATACTAATTTATATACCAACCCTTAGGAAGATAACAAGCAATAGAAAAGGAGAAAGTAATAAATGAGCATAGATGATTTATGCTTCTTCAGTGTTAGTTCAGTTAATTCCATTGGTAATTTATTAACTAAATTCCATTTAAAATTTGTATTTGTATACATTAAACTTGGCCAACATACCATAACTACTCTTAATTCCAATAGTGCTGTCTCTTAATTTTGAGTAAAAATAAATCTCTTGGGAAGACTATTCTTACCATGAAAAATTTTATGTATATATATATTAACTTTCATAGTTTTTATATTAGATATATATATATATTAGCCTCACAGATATATATATATATATCTTAGCCTCACAGAATAGCTCTTCACTCACCTGATGTGCCTAAAGATTTGCTTATCATTCCCTTAATATATCTTAAGCTTACAAAAGTTAAGAATTCTAAAGAGTAAGGAATAATTGTTAAAGTAATCAGGTTAAGAGGTAATAATAAAAATTTAATTCTGAACTTTCATATAAAATTCTCATAAGACACTTAAACTGAAACTAAATCAGATCTCTACAGTAAAACTTACATGTCTAATTGTTATGAATAGTGATAAAAATAGAAACTTTTCTTGAGTTCTTAGAGTTAGCTAAGCTAAATTGTACCTTCCAAAAAATAGCATTTTTATCCCATTTACAGTAAGCCAGTCATCTTCCTACCAAGCTAAATTTTTCAACCTTAATTTATTAGTATGTCTTTTTGGGTGATCTTTGAAGACTTGTCTTTTTGCTATAAGAAGATTTGAGACTTAGATTTAACATCCAAATTTATATAAAATTCCTATTATCTAAGTTCAGGTTAAATAAGATGTTGTGTGTATGTTTTTAACAGTATATTAATAGGATAAATACTATAGAATGCCAAAAAGAATTTAAATAGCTATAAACAGTATTTCACTTTAAATAATTTACCAATTTACTTTCAGATCTTTGATGCTTTTAAATCTCGACTTCATGATTCCAATAGTAAAGTAAATCTGGTGGCTCTAGAAACAATGCACAAAATGATTCCTTTGCTTAGAGACAACTTATCTCCTATAATCAACATGCTAATTCCAGCAATAGTAGATAACAATCTGAATTCAAAGAATCCAGGCATCTATGCTGCTGCCACAAATGTTGTTCAGGCACTGAGTCAGCATGTAGGTAAGAAATCTTTACTTTGGCACTCAAATTACTTTGACTTTACTTTTGTACTTTCTGATTCTACACGTTTTTTTTATAATGTTGAAATCATAGTCAATATTTGTCATTTAATGTGATATTCTCAGTAATATTTTAAATTATTTCTAGAGATTAAATATGTCCCATTAAACTGACTTTATCTTCCTTTATTTTTGAGTTTTCAGTTCCTTTTTTCCACCTCAGTCTCACATCTGATGCAAAATTGACTTAAAATGGATCTTAGGTTTAAATGTAAAACTTCACTGTAAAACTTTTAAGGATAACATAGGTAGAAATCCTTAGGACCTGAGGGCTTGGTGAAGAGTTGTTAGCGTGACACTAAAAGCATGATCCATAAAAGCTGATAAATTAGACTTCATCAAAATTAAAAACATTTGCTCTGCAAAAGACCCCATTAAATACATAAAGAGAAATACTACAGATTGGGAGAGAGTATTTGCAAACCACATATATGAGGAAGAATTTAGAGTTTATAAAGAACTCTCAAAACTGAACATTAAAATAAACAATCAATTAAAAAATGGACAAAGGACATGAAGAAACATTTCACTGAAGAGAATATATGGACGGCAGATGAAAAGCTGTTCAACATCCCTAGTCATTAGGGAAATGTAAAATTCAAGTTAAGACCATGATCACTACACAAATATGTTAGTCTGTTAGGGCTGCTACAACAAACTACTACAGACTTGATGGCGTGAAAACAAACTTTTATTTCTCACAGTTCTGGAGGCTGGAAAGTTCAAGGTCGAGGTGCCAACAGATTTGGTGTCTGGTGAGGGTCCACTTTCTGGTTCCTAGATGGCCCTATCTTCTGTTTGTGTCATCACATGATAGGAGCTTTCTAGGGCATCTTTTATAAAAGAGTACTAATCCCATTCATTCATAAGGGCTCCATCTTCATGACCTAATCATCTCCCAAAGGCCTCACCTCCAAATGCCATAACAATGGGGATTGGGTTTCAACATATGAATTTTGGAGGACACAGACATTCAGGTTATATATAGCAAGTATTAGGACAGCTAAGATTAGAAAGAGTGACAACACCAAACGCTAACAAGATTTCAGAGAAACTGAATCTGTGCTACATTGCTGGTGAGAATGTAAATAAAACGGTGTAGGCATTGTAGAAAATAGTTTGGCAATTTCTTAGAAAAACTAAACTGCACTTGTCATATAACCCATCGGTTGCATCCATAGGCATTTATTCCAGAGAAATGAAAACTCACTTCCATCCAAAAACCTGTACACTATTGTTCATAGCTGCTTTATTTGCAATAGCCAAAAACTGCAGACAACCTAAATGTAATTCAGTGGGTTAATAGTGAAAAAATTTGTGATACCTCCATACCGTAGAATACTACTTAGTAATAAAGTAGTATTATGGGGGCGCCTGGGTGGCTCAGGTTGTTAAGCGTCTGCCTTCGGCTCAGGTCATGATCCCAGGGTCCTGGGACTGAGCCCTGTATCAGGCTCCCTGCTCAGCAGGAAGCCTGTTTCTCCCTCTCCCACTCCCCCTGCTTGTGTTCCCTCTCTCGCTGTCTCTCCCTCTGTAAAATAAATAAATAATTTTTTTTTTTTAAATGTAGTATTATGGATACACACAACAATTTGGATGAATCTAAAGGGTATTATGCTGAGTGAAAAAAGACAGTCCCAAAAGGTCCCATGCTGTAGGATTCTGTTTGTATAACCCTCTCAAAATGATAAAATTTATGGATGGAGATGGAAAATAGGTTAGTGGTTATCAGGGTTTAGGGGCAGCTAGGGAGGAGGGGTTGGATGTGACTAGGGAGATCTTTGTGGTGATAGAATAGTTCTGTATGTTAATTGCAGTGATCGTTACACAAATCTACACATGTGATAAAATGACATAGAACTATACACAGGTAGTGGCACCTTCTGGCTTAGTCGGTAGAGCACGTGACTTTTGATCTCAGAATCATGAGTTCAAGCCCCACATTGGGTGTAGAGCTTATAAAAAAAACTCCAAAAATTAACAAATATGTGAATGATGCAGATGAGAACTATGCACATGGACTGTATAAATGTCAGATTCCTTATTTTGATGTGTACTATAATTATGTAAGATACAACCTTTGGTGAAAGGTACACAGGACCTTTGCAACATCCCATGAATCTATAATTATTACAAAATTAAAACTTTGAAAAAATCAGTAAGGATAAAAACTACCCGCAAAACAATTTTTTTTTCTATTTTTGTTTGTTTTTGATAAACCTATATTCTATTTTTTGGAATAAGATGCCAGGGGATGGGCAATTCTTTTGCTTTTTTATACCATATGATAGCTCTTTTAATACTCAGAGGTATTTTTATATCTTATTTGCTATAAGAATATTATTCTATTAAGGTTTTATAAATAATGTTAAGTAGTGATTGCATAGATTTAAAAATTTTTAACATTTGCATTCATTTGAATGAGTATATTTTCCTTTCAATTCTATTAATGGAAAAATAAGATCTCATAATTCTTTATATGTCTGTATTATTCTTTTTGTTTAGACAATTACTTACTTCTACAGCCATTTTGCACAAAAGCTCAGTTTTTAAATGGAAAAGCAAAACAGGATATGACTGAAAAGCTTGCTGGTAAGTATTTTTTAATTGCTATTTCTAAAGAAATATTTTATTAACTAAGGATAAACTGATAGGCATTTCAATTTAATTTTGGGATAACTACCAAATTCAATATCATTACCCACAATGTAGAAATAAATTGCATAATCATCCATATGAGAACCTTTTAAGACTTTTACCCCCCAAAATTTTTTTTAAGAATTTTATCCTTTTTTTTCCAGTAAGTATTTTAGTCTTCCTGTCAGTAGAAATAATATAGAAAAAATAAAAAGACAGTAAAGTCAATTTGGTGCACTTGGAAAACCATTTCAAATGATGTGTTTGATAAAAGGTCAGTGAGTTAAAAATGTATGTTTTTATTTAACTACATTTGGAAAACATCTAGATGAATTTTGGGTTTAATTCCTGTGTTTACTACTTCTGCCTGAACTAAGTTGTCATATATAGAATTCTAATACTTAATTTTTTTTTTTTTTTTAAAGATTTTATTTATTTATTTGAGAGAGAGAGAATGAAAGACAGAGAGAGCATGAGAGGGAGGAGGGTCAGAGGGAGAAGCAGACTCCCCGCTGAGCAGGGAGCCCGATGCGGGACTCGATCCCGGGACTCCAGGATCATGACCTGAGCCGAAGGCAGTCGCTTAACCAACTGAGCCACCCAGGCGCCCTAGAATTCTAATACTTAAAGATACCTTCTTTGGGAGGAAAGTTTCTGACCCTACTTTTCTTTAAAATGCCTGACATTTTATGACAAATGGCATCGGGAAGAAGCTTAGTATATTTTGTATGCTTTTTAATTATTCAAACTTGAATTTATTTTTTTGAAAACTTCACTATTTACTATATTTTTATGTTTCAGATATTGTTATGGAACTTTATCAAAGGAAGCCCCATGCCACAGAACAGAAAGTGTTGGTTGTTTTATGGCATCTCTTAGGGAACATGACAAATAGTGGCTCTTTGCCTGGAGCTGGAGGAAATATACGAACAGCCACAGCTAAATTATCAAAAGCACTTTTTGCACAAATGGGTCAGAATCTGTTAAATCAGGCTGCATCCCAACCATCACATATCAAAAAGAGTTTAGAAGAATTGCTCGATATGACAATATGAAATGAATTATGAATCTTTGATGAAATATAGTATGATGAAGAAAATTGTTTACATGATGACAAATGGAACTTTTTTAAAGTTACATTTTCAGTGCCTGCACTTCTCATCTGGTAAATTAAGTCAATGGCTATTTGTATTTGCAGCCAATGAATACACATCTGCCCTATATCAACCCTACCACTTGTACCCATCACACAAAAACCTAAAATAATTAATATAACCTAATATTCATGAAATCTGAGGTACAAGGAATGAGTCCAATTATATTATTTTTGAGGAACGTCCTGCTCATTTGCACTATTCTATAAGAAACCACAATTCATTGCCCTGTATGTACAATTAGATTTGTAATTAAAAATATACTTTTTATTATGTAATCATGTTCTGCTATGTCTCATTACTCAGCCTTATTTTATGAAATGAAAGAAAAGTCATTGAACTATGTTATCACAAACTAACTGTTGTGTGCTATTTGTGAAAAACATGTATTTCTGAAATCAGTCTGCTAATATGATTGTGCAGTATTAGCTTGCTTTTGCTATTGTGTTAATGTGATATATATGCTTACCATTTGGGTTAAATCATCTACATCATTGTGAAATTTAACAAGTTATAATGAAGCATGATGACCAAAGTTTAATGCTTAAACATTTTAAATGCACGTTAAAGAAAACGTGTTGAATGTAACTTACCTATTTTTGTGTGCAAACACTAAATTTTATTTCTATATGTCCCAACATTTATAAAGGTGTTATTTTGCTGCCCAGTTGTGTAATTCTCAAAAATAGTGCCAGGTCTTCTATAGCTTTTCTCAGAATTCTTGGGCTATAAGTACTGTATGCATCATAAAAAGAAAAGGAATGTTATAAAAATAAAAGGATTTATTTCTGTAGATGTGTGAGAGGTGTCCTATTTTTCCACCTTCCAAATATGTTAAAATAAAAAATATATATATTATAATATTGACCTTCATTTGGTATCCTTGATATAATAATGACCTATCTCTATTGACCTAACAATAGACCTGGGTTATAGTTCTAGCTTTAGAGGAAATTAGCCATGTGACCTTGGGCAAGTCACTTGCCAGGTCTAGGTCTCAGTGTTCCAATCTCTAAAATGTGAGGACTAGACTAGGTGATTTTTAAGGTTCTATCTTGTTCTAAAAATCTATGGTTCTGTGTCATAGTTTACTCAATGATCACTTTATTACAGTTGTGAACTATCCTCATTCTTTTTCATTTCTTGTGTCACTGAGTGGTTTTCTGATGTATTTGGCTTCATTTTAAATTGTGATTCTTTGTATTACTCCAGGACTGCTGTGCAATAAAAGGGGTTTTACAGCAATTTGAAGCTAAGCTTAATGGAAAGTAAAGACTTGGTTACTTTTTCTGTTTGTAGGTACTGTAACATATATTCATAGTTACATACATGCTTTTTTTAAATGCTTTATCTTTTCTTCTAAGTGTATTTTATTATGTTTTTATAGTTTAGATCTGAAGTAAAGGACCAAAAAGTAAATATTTTTGGCTTTGTTAAGCTACAGATTGTGGCATATTCTTTGTTTTTTGTGTTTTTTTTGTTTTTGTGTTTTCATAACCCTTTAAAAATGTATAATACATTCTTAGCTTAGGTCAAACAAAAACAGACCTCTTGCGTAGTTTGTCAGCACCTGGTTTAGACTCTTTTGACCTCAGTTGTAAATCTGAAATCATCATTAAATTTTGCTTTAACCCTTAATGATATGCACCATTGAAACAATAGTTACAGATTCCAAGTTTTATTAATTTTGACCATTGTTCTTGTGTCATTGCAAATGTGCCTACTAAATTTGCATTGATTGATTGTTGAATATATGGAATGTAAATTTTAAATTTCAAAGGCAGAAGACCATTACTTTATGTATAAGCTTAATTATCCTTTTTTTTTTTAAATGTATATACTATGAATTTTGCATTCAAAAAGTACAGTAAAGGAGCACCTGGGTGGCTCAGTTGGTTAAGTGTCTGCCTTTGCCTCAGATCATGAACTCAGGGTCCTGGGATTGAGCCTTGTATAGGCTCCCTGCTCAGTGGGGAGTCTGCTTCTCCCTCTCCCTCTGCCCCTCCCCCTGCTCTTGGGTTTTCTTGCTCTCGAATAAATAAATAAAATCTTAAAAAAAAAAAGTACAGTAAATATAATCACTACTATTAATGTGAGGATTTTACATAATCTCTGTGCTTTTATTATAAAAAAATACTCATTATGTAACAGAGTCCCAAGCCTTAAAGATTTCCTGTATTTTAGTAACTTACTGATACTGAGCACTCAGAAGTCTAGCACTCTGTTATCAAGAATTGTTATCAACCCAGAAGTCAGCAAAGAATTGGAGACTGATCACTGATTGAAAGAACTAAGGAGGGATGCCCAGGTGGCTCAGTCTGTTAAGCGTCTGCCTTCCCAGCTTGAGTCCTGATCCTGGGGTCCTGGGATTGAGCCCCTGAGCAGGGAGCCTGCTTCTCCCTCTCTCTCTGCCTGCAGCGCCCCCTGCTTGTGCACTCTCTCTCTCGCTCTCAAATAAGTGAATAAAATCGTAAAAAAAGAAAGAAAAAAAATGCATTTAATACACCTAACCTACCAAACATCATAGCTTAGCCGAATCTAACTTAAACATGCTCAGAACACTTACATCAGCCTATAGTTGGGCAAATCATCTAACACAAAGCCTATTTTATAATAAAGTGTTAAATATCTTATGAAATTTATTTAATACTGTACTGAAAGTGAAAAACAGAATGGTTGTATGGGTACAGAATGGTTTTAACTGTATTGGTTGTTTACCCTTGTGATTGAGTGGCTGTGTGCTTAATCACTCTTGCACCACTTTGAAGTTGAAAAATTGTTAAGTTGAAACATTATAAGTTGGAGATTATAGTACTTTCCAAAGATGCTGACTGTCCCTTCACCTGTGTATTTCTTAAATCTTGGCAAAGGGAGTGTACCTGGCACTCTTAGGATACATAGTTAAGGTGAGTGGAAAGTTGTTCATGAATAGTTCATGCCAACACTCCTACAGAACAAACTGTTCGAACCATTCTTGACTGTTTAAGCTAGCATATTGAATTTATACATATTTATATGTATATGTTAATATGTAATATTACAAATATATATAATGTATATTACATATATATACTTTAAAATCATTTCCTTCTCAGTCTAGCACTCAGTGAATTTTCTCATGCATTCTCCATATTTTTGTCAACATAAATTTGTAACGTTTCAACTGTCTTGCTATGTAAGTCTTGCTATACAAGTTTGAGGTTATAATTGGCGTCCAGAATATGCTGAAATCCGATTCTGTTATAAGTTTAGAAAAAATGATAAGTGTTGGGAATGGGGAGTAAGAAAAATTAGCCTCTTCATGCAAGGTGAAGCCTCCACAGATTAGGAGAGATCTCTATAGATTTCCATTAAGGCAGAAACAGTCTTTTCAGTTCAGTGAGTAGGGGCTGCTTTTGTTTGATGAATGGAGCTCAGGGAAAGGTAATGAGTTAAGGGTATTCAAGTTATTTGAATTCTACCACATGCCCATTTCACTTCTTTGGTTCTGCTCTTTCCTGAACAATGCCTTAATCTTCATAGAAGATTTCTGACAAGACTATGGAATCAACTGACATTGTAATTTAGCAACATGGGCCCCAACTTTGAGTGTGTTTGGCTCTTTTAGCCCCATGGCTGCAAAGAATAAATTCTTCTGTTACTATCAGAGGAAGTCCTTAATTTTTGGTTCCTACTTCAGGAATTTAGAAATCTGATCTTATGTCATTCTCTTTTAAGCTGTCCAGTGTTATTATAAATAAAATTCCACCCACACTTCTGCCTAAACCTTTGCCTTCCATGGTCAAATCATTCTAGATGACTACAGTTAATCATTTTTTACCATATGTGTACTGTATGCACTGTGTTCCATAAACCCCAGAAGGACTTCTGTTGGTACCAGCTGGGTTTTTACTGTTTTCTCAGCCCTGGTTAGGACTAATCCAACTTGTTTCTATTTCCCTGACCGTCTGTTATCTGCAACTGTTCTTGGAACTTGTTTCACAATTCTTATTTACTAGCAAATACAACTAACTAACTATATATGACTAATTTAAACAGAAGAAAGGTTTATAAAAAAGATCTGGTGTCCCAGTTTTATGAGACTGGGAAGCTAACTAGCTAATAAGAATGTCCACCTTGCATTGCAGAGCTAGTCCACTAGCCTGCTAGTATTACAGAAGAGAGCCACCACATCACCCCACTGATACCACACACTGCCACACTGGATGTTGGCCCTACGAGCCCTGTGTTCATATCGCTAAGAGTGTGTGTGTGTGTGTGTGTGTGTGTGTGTGTGGTGGTGGAGGGGGACTAAGAAAGTATCAGGTAGTTTCAGCTTCTACAATGAGGTATAGGCTCTCTACTTCAGAAAGTGGGGATGTCCCAGAGGGAGGGGTTTCATATGCTAAAAAAAATTAAAAATGTCCACTGCATAAGTCACTGATATATGGAAGGTGATGGAATCAATTAGGACAAAAAACATTGCATTAAATTTCACATTTATGTTGGTTAGTTTTTATGTTAGTCTGGGTCCCCCAAAAAGTAGATGCCATAATGGCAAGAGATTTATGGAGGAAAACTAGTGGAGATTTTCAAGCAGGAGAGTGGGAGCTAGAGCACTCTCTGGAAAGGTAAGATGTAGAAAACTAAAGGGAAACAATGAATCTACAGTGAATAAAGATGAAGAAGTAGATAGATTTTTATAAAATGGCTATAGGAGGGGGATGGGATCTCAGAGCTAATTTTACTTACTGATGAAGAATTTGAAATAAGTTTAGGAAAGATTGGAAGAACCAGAAAAGGAGTGAAGGCAGCATGGCAATTAGAGCCAGTTCCTAATAGATTACTCCCTTAACTTTCCTTCCCATAGTAAACATCTAAAAGTTGCTGATTAAACCAGTAAAAAGCATAGCTGCCCTGAGAATCCAAAAGTTAGCTTCAATAGTAGAAGCAATGGAAAGGGAAAGCTGCAACTACATGCAGTTTGATGAAAGTGAAATGCAGTCAGTAAGAAGACTGATTTTTTTAAGGGTTTATTTATTCATTTAAGTAATCTCTACATCCAAATTGGGGCTCAAACTCACTACCCTGAGTTAAAGAATAGCAGGCTCCTCTGACTGAGCTAGCCAAACGCCCCTGATTTTGATATTTGAAAGCAAAGGTGCTATTGAGAGGATTTATGATTAACAGCATTGTAGATAGGAAACATCATCTTGCAGAGAAATATTTTTGGAATCAGGGGTGCCTGGGTGGCTCAGTCCTTAAGAGTCTGCCTTCAGCTCAGGTCATGATCCCAGGGTCCTGCGATTGAGCCCCGCATTGGGCTCCCTGCTCTGCTGGAAACCTTCTTCTCCCTCTCCCACTCTCCCTACTTGTGTTCCCTCTCTCACTATGTCTCTCCCTGTCAAATAAATAAAATCTTTAAAAAATATATATATATTTTTGGAATCAGATTCCAAAGGAGGAACTCGCAACCCAATTGTGATACTACTGAACCTTCAACAGAGATTGCATGGCAAGTGGTGGGTGAACTCAGGAACCTTGTCGCGGAAATAGGAGAGAGGCCAGATTCGGAAAAAAAAAAAAATTTTTTTTAAAGTGAGGTTGGGAATGTAACTGAAAAGGACTGCTAATACTGTCAATGTAAGCAGCCTTCATTTGTCCAGAGGATAATTTCATATAACCCTTTAATGATCAATTCCCCAAGCCCCTAACTTGTTTCCTCTATTGTTTCCTTTTTTTTTTTTTTACTGTTTCCTCTTGAGGAAACCTGAGAGGACCCAGAGTCTATATCATCCTGAAGTAGAGATTTAAGGCTGAATTTCTGTTCATGTTTAGTAGGTAAAGGGGTAAAAGCTGGGCAATTGTTGGGAAAACCTTAGATTTGCTCCGAAAGACAATATTTTCCTTTGGAGGGGTGGAGCGCTGTGTTTAAGATCAAGGATGTAAAAGGCCCTAAACACTGTCTTTTGGCTTAGAAAGTCCCCACAGCGGGGAGAAAACAGCAGGAGCAGCTGCCGGGTCTTCGGCGGCGGCCGCGGGGCGGAGACCGGGCGGAGACCGGGCGGAGAAGGGGCGGGGCCAACTGCCCCTCCCCCCTCCCCCCAGGATCCCGCGGAGGGCGAGGCCTGCGCGCAGCGTTACCACGTGATTCCTTCGCCTCCGGGGCACCGACGCATGCGCGCCGTGCTCTCGACGAGGCGGCCCTGGTGCTGGTGGCGGCTGCTGCGGAGTCTGTGGGACGGAGACGGTGGAAGTGCCATCTTCGGCTCGGTTGGCCCAGACTGCGGCTCATGGCATTGAGTGGCATCCGTCGTCAGGTCAGCCGGGGCGGGCGTCTTGGAATTGGCCGGGCGGGGTGCGGGGGTTGATTGGCGGGGCAGGATGGGGCCTGCCTTGTTTCAGGCCGCACTGGGGTTGCGGCCTCCCTCAGCCGCCCTGTTTGAGGCCTGGCCTGGCCTCGGCTCCCAGCTGTCCATTCCTTTCTCCTTCCCACCTGTTGGGTGGAGCAGGGCGAGATTACTTTTCTTAGACCAAACGTTTCTCTGACGAGTGCGCCTCATGAAGAAGGGCGGGGAAATGCGGGCCTCCACGGTGACTTAGGAAGCGTTTTGGGGGTTAAGTGTGAAGCCCTAGGTTTCCCAAGAGCTGGAAACCAGTGTGCTGGGACGACTGGAAGTGGAAGGGGCTCAATAGTAGCCGTCAGAGGATTGAGAGAATTCAAATTCTGTTAAAAGCTTGTAGGCGCCATGTAGTGGCACGTTCCGCGTTCCGACTACACAAGCCACACTGTTGGGACACTGAGTCACAGCACCCCAAAGATCAGCCAGAGCTTTTGGCAGCATAGCATAATCAGAAAAATCAGACATTAAAGATCCTAGTAGGATCTTTTAAAGACACCTATTTAAAAACAGTATTTACCTTTCGTAATCAGAAACCAGCACTGGTGTTTTTCTCGCTCTGAAATCACATCTTTAATTAAGTCGTACTGCTCTTAATGTGTTATTGATGATCTTACAATACTATATTATTTTATGCCGATTAAATTGTTTTTAGTTTGATGTTCTTGTTGCCTTCTCTTTAAGGACTTGAGGTTATTTGGCAACTGATCCAGTCTGTTCAGAAATACTTTAAACTTTTTTTTACAGCTGGAAAGGTTGAAGCTTAAGAAAACACATTTTATACAGGGAAGTATGAAGCTCAGGTTGGAACTTAAGTGTTTTGGTCTCTCTGGGACCTTAAGTGGATTGAAAAAAACAACTGTCAGGTACCCCCCTCACCCCTCCCATTTATAACCTCATTCTAGAGTTGCACAAGTTGGAACTTTCCACTGTTCAGCTTCTGGTAGGGATAAAGTGAATGAAAGGAGTTGTGCTAAAGAACTCTCGTTCCTAGACTGTGAACTTTGGAATAATTAGGGGTTGACCAAAGATGCCTAATTAGTAGGTGGTATGAGATACTTGAAGTGAGAATTGAAAAACAGGGTTTTTGTAGTGTCAGAGTATTTGGTAATATTTTTGCTTGCTTACCTATAGTTGAGTAAGAAAAAGAATTTTATAAATCAAATTATAAAAGGTGTGTGTACACGTATGTCATAAAGAGAAAGAATGGGCACCTGGCCACCTCAGTCAATAGAGCACGTGACTTTTGATCTCGGGGTTATGAGTTCAAGCCCCACATCTGGTGTAGAGATTATTTAAAAATCTTAAAAAATAAATAAGGAAAAGAACAGAACCTTTTCTGGTATGTTAATAACTAATCTGCATGAAACATAGGATTTTGTGTGTGTGTGTGAAAAATAGTCAAAAGGAGAAAGAAAGTAGTAGTTCCAGTCGAATGGTGATTTTTTTTTTCCCCCAAAGACTTGGAGGTGATGCAGTCATTTATGTAAATATATGTATATAAAGTTAAGTTTCTGGAACATATTAAGTGTTTAATATGTGGAAATTAAAAAGGTCAATCTGTGAACATTCTTCTTAGCCTCTAAAACAGTTGCCAAAACCAGTGGTTGTGATAGTCTCTTCTTAACAACTTGTGTCTTCAAATTGACTTATCTGTGGATGAGGAACAGAGTAACTTGTAGATTGCAAAGCTAGTTGATTTGCAATACTCAGATTACTGACTTTTTAGTCCTTAGTGATGACTTTAGATATTTTTGTGTTGCTCTGTTTATGAAAAGAATAATACATGGTGTGATTTTGAGTGCCTACAGGGAGTTAAGAGAGAGGTATTAAATTAGACTTCACATTTTTAATTAAGTATGGGTTAAGTGATCCTCCAAAAGACCTTTTAAATTTTAAGATGGCATGCTAAATTGTTAGTGAAATGTTTAATGTATGCTATAACTGAACTAAAAGTTGAATGTATGATATAGAACTGTATTTTTTAATGTACTACATAGTCACATTATAATTTACCATGTTTCCTTTCATGCTTGTGGACTTTGGGCCTCTAATAAGATTTTTTAAGAAAGTGAAATGTAGTAAAAAGGCATTGTTTGAGAAAAGGAGGAAAGTTTTGTTAGTCTAAGAGAATAGAGTAAGCCAAGGTTTGGACATGAAAACTACATTGGGCTCTGTAAATAGCAATGAGGAGGAATACTGTAGGATTAGTATGTTTGAAAAGTTAAGTTGGGGCCAGATTTGTCACTCACTTTTTCAACAGAGATTTAGTGTGCTATTATATACTAGACACTGTTTTAGGTTCTAGGAACACAGTAGTGAATAAAACCATGGCCTCTGTTCTGTATTTAATATTATAGTAATATTAATTTATTAATAATTAATTTATTTATTTATCTGTAGCAGTAGTGTAGCAGTATTTTTCAAATTTTTTGACTGCGACCCATAATAGGTTGTACATGTAATATTGCATCCCAATAAACACCAGTTGCATTCTGTATGTATTTCAACAATATGCCCTCAATGTGTGCGTGAACTCTGATATATTGTTTTCAATTCTGTATTTTTCCATTAAAAAAAATGAGGAGCTGATTTGAAGCAGTCTGAAAATTGAAAAACATTACTCAAGAGGGGATATAAAATAGGGACTCCTGACTGGCTGGCTCAGTCAGTAAAGCCTGCAGCTCTTGATCTCTGGGTTGTGAGTTAGAGCCCCATGTTGAGTGTGGAGATTGCTTAAATAAACTTTAAAAAAAAAAAAAGAGGGGAGATGATAATTACTTAAACTATAGTAATAGCAGTGTGAGTGAAGAGGATAGTTAATCTTTATGGCAAGGTATTTGTGATTATTTTGTGAATGAGGCTTAGAGAGGTTAAGTATCTTGCTCAGTGTTCCCTAATGAGTAACTGGGCCAGATCTTTAATTCAGTTCTGTCCGACTCTAAAGCCCAAGTACTTTATTTATTTTTTTTTAATGATTTTATTTATTTTTTGACAGAGAGAGTGAGAGAGCACAAGCAGGGAGAACAGTAGAGGGAGAGGGAGAAGCAGGCTCCCTGCTGAGCAGGGAGCCTGATGCGGGACTCCATCCCAGGACCCTGGGATCATGATAACTATCTAAGCCACCCAGGCGCCCCTAAAGCCCAAGTACTTTATTATACAACTTCTCATGTGGCTATGAAAATAATATATTAGTTTTTAGTCTGGGGGGACTAAGGACTCTGATGCTATTTATTTATTATTCAATGAATTGAGTGTGTAGTACTAGTCCTCCCGGTGTACTCTATCCCTGTGTATTGGTAGATCTGGTCCTTACTCACAAGAAACTTGTAATCTAGTAGGAAAGATGATATCAAACAAGTACCACAAATGTGATTTGTGCTATGGAGAAAAAGACAGAATGCTGTGGAAGCATCATTGAGGGAAGCTAACTAATTTGGAGTGTATGGGAAAACTTTTTAGGAAGTGATGTTTAAACTTCACACACAGAGGAATGAGGCTTCAGCTAGATTGAGGGTTCTAAGTGGGGATGGGGTATAGGGGTAGGAGAGTATTCCAGATGGAGGAAACTGAGTACACTAAGGCCTTGAAGTGGAAAGGAGCTGAACTGGAAAACAAAACAAAACCAAACTTCAACAAAAATAGAATTTCTTGGCTGCAGAAGTTTTTAGAGAATGGGGAGAGTTTTGGTGTTAGCATGGGTTAGCATGGGACTGTCTCTCTTCCTTACTAACCATATAACCTTTGACAAATTATTTAATCTTAGTTTTGTTGTTCCCATTTTTAAAAATGGGTAAGTGACATTCAGCAGAATACTTGTTCAATAAATGGTGTCTCAGGATTATCACAAATAGCTGGTAATTGAAATCATAGCAGTATATGATGACATGCTTTCATTCATTCATTCTTTCACAAATAAGTGTCTTCAGTGTGTCATGTAACTCAGTATGCAATAATTGAATTTTGTGTGTGTGTATAATCACAGCAAATGTCACAAAAGAATATACCTTTACTGTGTGCGAAGCACTCTGATAAAATTTTTTTCCATTTTAGTTTTCATTTGCAAAAAGAGAAAAAGCTGGTCTGGAGCAGTCTGCAGTTTGAAAAATACTGGTCTAGTGGGGAGATAATGATTAAACTATAGCAGTAGTACTGTGGATAAAAAGAAGGGGATGGTTAATTTTTATGTTGGGTATACTAAATGAGTAAATTATTTGCTATGTTATAGTATAATATTATGGCTAAAAGAAAAAAAATAGAGGACGGTAAAGGGGATCAAATATGGTAAAAGGGATCATGTATGCCGGGGATGGGAGCAAGTTACAGTTTTAAATAGGATTGCCCAGGTAGGTCTTACTGAGAAGGTGACCAGTATTTCTTCCTCTCTCCCTCCCCCTCTCCCTCCTTCCCTCCCTCCCTCCCTTCCTCCCTCCTTCCCTCCCTCCCTCCCTCCCTTCCTTCCTTTTAAGATTTATTTATTTGAGAGAAAGAGGGAGTGGGTTTGGGAGCGGGTGTTGGGAGGGAGAGGGAGAGAATCTCAAGGAGACTCTCTGCTGAGCACAGAGCCCCACACCAGGCTCAATCTGAGGACTCGGAGGTCATGACCTGAGCCGAAATCAAGAGTCAGACACCCCGAGAAGGTGACATATCAACAAAGGAGAAGGTAAGGAAGGCATCTGGGAGAAGATCACTTTGGGTAGAGGAAACAGCCATTCAAAGGCTCTAAGGCTGGAGAATATGGTCTGTTTTAGAGAAAACAAGATGTCAGTGTGGCTGGGGGTGAGTGAGGGCAGGAGTCGAGAAGATGAGGTCAAAAGATAAATGGTAGGAGGGGGACAGTAGGCCTTTCAAGGACATTGACTTTTACTCTGTGAGATAGAGCAGTGGAGTGGCATGGTCTTATTTATGTTTTAGAAAGA